ATATTTTTCAATTAAATCCATGTATGCAAATAACTGAATACATCAAAACCAAAATGGCCTATGGGCAGTAAAATATTCACATTTTCCCAAGTAAATTTTGTGTTAAAAATTGTTGTTTCATTAAACAAACATTTTCTCTACAACTGGAATACATGGGCTTGGAAAAAATACTAAACCACAAAAATCTATGCTTTTTAGTGCACTTAAGTTGGACTGCAACAACAAATCAAACTTTACCCACTTCTGAAAGCTGTTACTAATCTCTCCTACGGGCTACACATTGGGCTGTCCTCTGATCTGTACCACAAAAACAATAGGATACTTCCTTTGCCCTGTTGAGAAATGCTGTTTCTGATCATACTGCTGATGAAATAGGAGAACGAAATTTCCAGCGTGACCACATTTATACTGCCTGCATAAACTCAGAAGACCCTAAAGCTGATAGTAATTGCAGAAGGAGAAAGAGCTGGTTTCCCCCCCAGTTTTTAATAAAAATATGTCTTGCATACAGAGATGAGGGGGTGGAGTTTTCAGTGCCGTCTATTCAATTCTTAATTTACTTTAAATATACATTGACTTAAGACAGCTACAGGATATGCCTACCAAATGAAAAAATTTCTCTACTGTATGTGAAAGGTAAACTTTTTCTTTGATTCACTGCAACAATGAAAACTACCATGAAATTTCATTAAAAGTGAAACTGACTTGTTTGTAAGAGCTGGAACACACATGAAAAAATGCCCCCAGAGTGGAAACTAAATTAGCAGTGTAAGTCTTAGAAGGAATTCTAAAGAATCATGATTTTGAAAACTCAGCTCCACACTAAATCAAATCAAAATGCCATTCCACAAACAGAAGAAAATTCTTGTCTTTCTTCTGTGACAAACATGTATTTTCTCAAAATACCTCTAACAGACATATCCCTTCTTTAAAATATTTATCCATGTCTTCAATCATTGGTAACAGAACAGAATTCTATTGTTTCTTGAGGCTTCTGTGATGCACGTTTAGCATATTTTTGCAGAATGAGTTTTTTGGGGTTTTTTGTGTACACTTACTTGTCTTTAATTTAAAAAGTACACACACCTTTTATGTATTATTTCCCCTAAAACAATCTCAGCCAGTCTGGATCCAGCCCTGCTACTGCTGATTCAGCAGCACGGCTATTCACGCCAAAGTGTAAAGCAATTAGAGATGAACCAGATGAAACAACAGCACTTTCCATTCTCTAAATGATGCTGGAGTGTTTTCACAGCTTTGTGTGTTTATAACTGCAGGATCCCTATGCCTTCACCCTAATGCTCCCCTCTGCCACTCTGACTTGTAACCATGAACAGAGGAACAGATTATAACCTTGATAGTCTGATTATCTCTGTCCTGTTTCTCTGTGCTACTCTATAATTTTATCAGTGATGTCTTAATGCTGACAGAGGGATGCATTTCAGCTAAACTGTCTAAACATTAGCTGTTCTAGAGAGGAAAGAACTCCCCAAGCATCAGAGTGTAAGGAAGACAAATTATCAGACACTTACCAACACCAGGCAATAGGCAACAAAGAAACAGCATACACACAGACCATACAAAATATACTTTATTTTCACAGGTTAAATAGGTTTAACATTACCATTATTTTTAATATTTTAGCTTATTTTTTTAACTTTATAGGTGAGTTGAATTTCCTCAATAAATTTCCTCTCTCTAACTTTGAGTATAGTTGAAAAAATGGCCCCAATTTCTTGTCAAGCAAAATTCAGTGATGAGACAAAAAATACACCAGGTGTGCAAAATTACAACAGAACAGAAAGAAAATAATCTCTGATGAAAGAAGGCAAGCTGAGGATACTGTGTTTAGAAGTAGAGGGATTCCTAACAAGGTCAGTTTGTTTCCATCACAAATGCATGCAAGGGATTTTAGTTTCTTGAAAGCTCAGGTGAGGGAGATTGATATGCTCATGTCGAAAGAATTAAGAATGAGATGTTAAGTCTCTGTTCAGACCCAGAAATTTGACTTTCACTTGCTAATCTATTATTTTCTGAGTATATCAAGTACTTTACTTCTTCAATGCCATTTTTAAGGGAAGGCTGCTGAGAAGACAAACTCATGGAGCAGATGTAAGGCTGAGCACATACCATGGATCCTTCAGCTTTATCTTTGGAAATTATTTACTCGTCCATTTCTGCCCTGGAAGCAGTGGATTTTATTTTTTACTCAAATAGCAGGGGATTGTCTGGTGGGTTTTTTGGTGCATGAAATACAGACTTGAAAAGGAAAATATTAATACTGCCAAGGAGCACGTCAATATCAAGTAGCGTCCAAGAAAATAAAAAGCTTTAGGATCTTAATTCATCCAGCACTGTTCCTTTTCTTGTCTGCAGCCAGTAGAAACAGGTGACATAAGGGAAGCAAACTGCAAAAGAAATTACTTATAATTAAATTAAATATGAAGACTTAAATGAAGAGGCATATAAAGATATTCTGAATTATATGTTAATTGTTGCATCAATTGTTTTAAGTATTTTGGAAATGGTGTGTCTGCAGAAGGAAATGAAAAGCTACAGAAGGCATACCTGGATGACATCCTGGGTGGACAAACAGGGATAACATTATATTATTATCCTAGAGCTTCTTAGGAACAACTTTTATGTGTACTTCAATTAGAAGACAAAAAGATGCCAACATAAGACCAAATGCAACAAAATAGTGTCCAGTATGCCAAAATAAGAAAAACAGAAGTTGCCAGAGTAAGCTGGGAAGTATCTTATGTTGATATATGGAGCTATCCCACAAACCTGCAGAGATGAGAGAAGAATTTGGAGACTCCTATTTTGACATTTTTTTTCAAATGGGAAAAAAATTTCTTTAAGAAGACTCTTATCCCAAGTGAGAAATAGACCAGGAAAAAGACACAAGCAAGTAGTTGAGTACTGGGTATAAAGGTAAGGAAGCCATTAGTTTTTTAAAGTTTAAATTCTTAAGAAAATAAATCTTTCCTAGATGCATTCAATAATATGTCCAGATGTCAAGTTGCAAGAAAAAGTCACTGTATCTGTCCAAGTTTGAAATAATATCTGTTTGAGATAATTGGCACTGTAGGTGAGGTAAATCATATGACAATACTATTGAATCATTTGATGATATTTATTTGGAGAAGGATTGAGGGAACAAAAGGAGATGAAGAGTGGGATGGGTGCTTTGTGAGGCCCAGTCTGAAAGAAAGTAGAACTTGATTTTGGATCACTCAGGAAAAGGAGATTAAATCAATATGTCTACAGATAAAGATATTTTAAATCTAGTGGCATGTTTTGAGAAATGATCACTAAATCTCAAGTAGGAGATATAATTGATAAAATTTACATATATGATTTTTAGATTTGAAAATATTCTGAGGAGGCTGTTATATAAGCTGAATTTTGTTATTTACAAGGAAAATTTCCAGCTGTGCTAGATAGAAGATGCACTAGGATAAATTAAAAAAAAAAGGATTTGGGCATCATTTAGCCCAAATCACATCTGTTATAGACAGGTAGTAAAACCAAAGCTCAGTCTCAGAGAGTAAGAGTCAGCAACATTTCTAGTACCAGTATCAGCATGTTATAGGCTGCAGAAAGAAACCATACAGCAAGAAGAAAACTATCAAGAGGAAGAAGGTTTCTCTAAGTCACTGGAGGCTCAAACCTCTTCCAAGGGCTAGTTTTGTGTTTTGCCTACAATTCTTTAATAAAAACATGTATGTGAAATGAAAGTGACTTCTTTATTTTCTTTTCTGAAAAACAAAAAGTTGTGAGTTTTTAAACAGCAAAATAAATCAAAGCATAAATTTGAATATGAAAATTTGCATATGAAAAACTGCTATTGAAGAAAAATACAATAATTAATCTTCTCTCTATCTCATGATGAATGAAAGAATTAGGGGTTTTAGAATCAGGTCAGACTATGTCATTTATGCAGTAAGAGGAAGGCACAAGGGTGTAAGATTGGTGGGCAAACAGAACAAGTGAAAACAAATCCAAGTTCTTTTCTGAACTCCTCATGAAACTCTTGTAGGTGTCCATGCTCTGAAGAACAACAAAAATCACAATGTCTGAAGGAGAAAGAAGCTTCCAAAGCTCAGAAAAAAAAAAATTGCTTTTATGCAACCTTTTTTTATTAAATTCAGACACCAAAGAAAGAAGTAAGAAATTAAAGAAATCCCACATTTTCTAGCTCTTTCTACAAAACCATCTCTGCCCAAAGGCAGAGTGACAAACAGAGATGTTAATTCAAGAAGACAATCTTCCAAGTACCTGAATAACCAGTGAAATGCAAAAGGAATTCATGTGAGCTTGGTTACTCTTCAGTCTCTTGGAAGAGCAAACCAGCACTTCACTCATAATGTGTTTGACTGGCAAAAAAGTGTCTTGTGCAGCTAGAACAATAAAATGCTGCTAAAACATTCAAGAGAGCCTTACATGAGACATGCAAAACCAGGAGCTTATAGCAGTGATTTATTTGAAAAAATATCAAGCCCCCATTACTGTGAAAGGTTCTAACTTCATCTGAAGTAAGACAACTTTCTCACATAGCACCACCTCGACCAGCTACAGAAGAATTGTACTTTGACTCAATTCTGGGAGAGATTGTCAGGATTGTGTGCATTCAGTTCTCTGAGAAACTGAATCAAACATGTAAAAGATATGCTAATTCTGAAGCATTAACATTTTTCAGAAATAACCTATTTCTACACTTCTGAAGCTTACATACCACTTTCTAATGCCCCTCCTCCACTTCTGCATTTTAGTATTTTCCTTACAGCCACTAATTAACACAACAAAGTGTAGCAAAATTGACAGGTAAATTATCCTTTAAGAGCATTAAAATATTTTCCAGATAAACAGTCATATCAAAATATGTTTAAGTGATGATTTTTCTGTGCTAAGTAATGAAAAACATTTCTAAATATCTACATTGCAAATTTGCATCCCACCTCGAGGTTTTTTTAAATTTCTTTCACATAAAGTACCTTTTAGAGAAAGAGAAAGCTTCTTTTCCTACTTCTTCATGCATTGCCTTCTAAAACCAACAGGACCCAATATACCAGCCCCTGCCTGTACGTGACAGGGAACAGCTGAACCTCTATCAGCTGATTCTCTATCATCCTCTGTTTGGTGATTACTCATTCCTCTCTCCTTCTCATCTGGCACCAAAGCAAAACCTGCATGGAGTGCTGAGATCCTTCTTCACATGTTGAGGCTTTCACCTCTGTCAAACTCGTTTGAGTTTGGGCTAAAAGCATACATGTAGAGCATGTACACCTTTTTTTTTTGTTTTGAATCCAAGATAAAATATGAAATAGATGTTTTTATGTCGTTGGATGTCCCAAGCTAGCAACCATCATATCTCTACAAAAAGGTAGTAACAGTGGACCAGTTTTCTTTTAAACCTCTGAAATATGGCAACAGTCTGAACAGATCTCTTTTCCAATACTAAACTATTTTAAGGATAGGATGTTTAAAACCAGTTTTGTTATTTCTATGTTGCACTATACCTCAAAAAAGGAAGTAAGATCCAGTTTTACCAAGTTCTAAACAAAGCATGGTGGTAAGAAGAATTACTGAAAAAAGTTGCTGTTAAATTGAGAGCGCAATTTCAAGTGCCTTTGACTTCAGACATCCAATTTAAAATTGACCACAGACATTCAATTTAAAACTAAATCTGAAAAGAAATATAAAGAAAAGGTAACTCCCACACATCATGGGCTCCTATATTCCCTTGAAACAGAACAGAAAAAATGCTCATATCTAAAAACCAGAAGAACATCACTAAGCCATAGCCTCAGAGGCACTCTGCTACTCTTTGTAGCTGGAACATCTATCAGACAAACATAAAATTGTAATAAACACACATTTACCCATTGAGGCACATTCCTGAATCCTGCTGGGCAAACAGACATGTCACACAGCCTTGTCCACATCTCAAGGGAATTCTATTAACCAAACATTGGTTCAAGATCATGTCTTTCCAGCATTATTTTGTTTGCTGCCTCTGATCGGCCCACAAAAGAGCACACAAACAAGGCAGTAGAAAGCCTGCAACACAGTAAGAGGCCTTTTATTTTTGTTTTGTTACACCACGTGAAGAGCAAGCTTAATTAAAAAGATTTTCTGAAGTGGTGTAATTAATTATAGGACCATTACATAGAACAGTAACTGTAATTGATAATAAAAGATTGCTATGTATACCAAGCTAGGAGCCAAGCCAAAGACCAAGGAGAAAATACCAAATTTGAGTCCCAAACTTTCCTTTGGAAGATTTTTCCCTTTGTAAATATTGAAACAAAAAATAAGGCAGAAAAAAAAAAAGGGCTTCATAGTTGAACAGTCAAAGCCCACAGAAAAAAAATCTCACACTGAAATTGCTTCAGGATGTGTCCAATAATATTCCAGGAAAGGCCTCAAACCATTTTCACCTCTGCTATCTCAAAGGAATCCAGATTTCATTTGGAGAACTATAGCTCCAGAGCATGAATCTCACAGCAGTCACAGGCAAAATTCTCCTGAGAGGTGGTGGTTTGACTAGCCTCAGGTGAAGAGAACGAGCCCAGCATTGCCACAGCTCCAGTATGTGCTTTAACAAACCAAGTTACTGAGTGAAAGAACTGCTGCAGTTATCACTCCAGGCTGCTACAGTTATATCATATAATGTGCAAAAAGTTATGAAAAATTTCAGTCCTTCCCCTTCAAGAGTTTATTTGCATGGAAGTATTTCACCACAGCATAACTTAATGCCTTGCAGTCTAGAGGACTGGGTTGCACTGCAAAATTGCAGGGGTAAAAAGCCTTCACCAGGCTTCTCCACCAGCACAGCAAATATGCAGGTGCCTGACTCAGAGGCACTGAGAATCCTCAGTTATTTAAACACGAGGTTGTGTTTAAAGAAAGGCAATATACCATGTCACAATATCCGTGTCACCCTCTCCAGATCTGATTCCTGACATTTACACTGAGTTCCATCCTCTTCAGGAAAGAATTTAGAATGTACAAGGATTAATCATTTCTGCTGTTCTCAAATCCCTCTCTGTGAGCCAATACACACAACAGCTTTGCTGCTTTGGCATGAATAACTCAGCAACTAAAAACCCTCTAGCTCATGAATACACTGGACAACTGACCAAACCCTGTTTCCAGCTCCCTTTTTTCACAGTCTATTCCACACAACCAATCTCAAAAGTTATACACAGTATTGCTCTATGTAGAGCCCCTGACACGACAGCAGCATTTTGCAACTCAGGCTGCAGCAATCCATGGCACTTGGCCTGCCTCTCAGCAAGGTGAAATGCATATCACAACCTCCCTCTTTGGTTACAACATGACTTAATCTGGCTCTCTTAATAGAAGAGCAAACAAGCCAGGCTCAAAAAATCACCTAAAGCTTTGATATGACTTTCACTCCCCTGGGAAGCATGCCATGCATCAAACTGCTGTCCTGCTCTGTAAAGAAGTATTTTCCATTGTTTATGTTCTCTTTGTTCAGGAGTTGTTACTCTTTAAAATCTTGTTCAATTATTAAAATCTCAAGTGCAAATATAAAGCGATCAGTGTAGACACTTACCTTGGTAAAGCCCTAATTGAAAAATGAAGGATATAAGATTTGCCATGCAGATCTAGCCACAAAATTATTTCCAGCATAAGCAAACAGACAATAATTAATTGTATACAGACTTTAGGTTTAATCAACATTGTGGTTTTTGTCTTTCAGAGCCTGAAGCAGTCTCAGATGGATAAGATTAGGAGTCTGAAAGATGCATAGTAAGACTGGAGAAGATATTGCCAGAAACAGTCTACCTTTCAGTAAGTATATTCTATACCTAACCATGCCTTCCATCACCAGAAGACCTAACTTCAGTGTAAGGGTTAGAAAAGAAAGTAACATGCAATAGCAAGGTGCCCCAAAGTTGAAAAACTTATTTAATAAATGAACCAACGATCTTTTCCCTGCCATCTATAGTCTTTGATAGTATAAAACCCACCCAGGGTACTATTAAATGTAGTAAGAAAGAAATTCACAAGAAATTCACAATTTGAAAATGTTTGGATTATGCTGTTTTAGAACTACAAATACACTTTAAAAAAATGTTTAGAAAATTCTGAATATGATGAGGTGTGCTCTTTTATACCATCCAAACAAGCTCTCTGGAACACCAGAGAGCCCATAACAGTTACTGCTTCATTTTTTGACATTCTGCATTTATGGTATATCAGAGATTAAATATGGATTACCTCCATAGTGCACAGAATTAATAATTTGCATTTGTTTCTTATAATTTTTACTCACATCACTGTTTGGAGAGACACAAAATAAAACTAGTTTCAAAGTAAGTTGTTAGCAAGACAATCAGAATTTTTTCTTTTCCACCTGCACACATGTCAGGTGTTGTGGTGATGTGTGTGTCAGGAACTTTTATCAAGTCCCCAAAATCCTGACTGTATCCAGTGTTCATCCATGCTTACATACAAGTTTGGATTAGATGCCAGTTTAGATATATTTAAGACCTTAATGAACCATAAGAACCCTGCCTCAGCTATTTATTTATTTTTTTTTATCAATTGCTTTGGTAATGGATAATGTGTTGCAAGACTGCAACAATTGATATAAAAACAGCACACAGCCTCCCCAGCTACTGATCCAGGCAGGAGGGCACTGCTGTAACCCCACATCTTGGTAATAATGTAATTCCTGTATTCACCCATAAACACAAACTCACCCACAATCATCTCATTTTTACTGAGAAATTGAAAGGGGAGAGATAAATCACTGTCATAGGTAATAAATACACTGAGAAGCCAGGTGAGATAAAAGCTTTTGCCCACACACTTCTGCTCTTCTGACCACTGAGTGTTTGAGGTCATATCTCTAATTGTGCTACAAGAAAAACCCACACACTAACTGGGCTTTTCACTTGCTCTGTGCGAGTCCTGTTTGGGATTCTGCAAAAGGGTTTGGTATGGAAAATTAACTCAGGTTTCAGTAAATCCTAACACGGCTTTTAAAGAGACAAGAACTTTCAACACCTGTATGACACAGCTATCTTACTGAAGAGAAGTTCTTACACCAAATAAACCTACCTTTACATGCGGCAGTACACAACCACTAAAAACCCCCAAGGTTTTGAGTTTGTGCCATACGAGTTCTTGTTACCCAAGCCTGAATTCACACAAGTTCTTGGTGCCTCCCAGCCACATGAGTTTGCTGTTTGTTGCCCCAGCAGCTCAGGTGAGCGAGCATGCTGTGTGCCAACATGTTCAGCAGTCATCCCATAACACAACAGGGTGCTCAGAGGCAAACTCTGGTAAATCTCACTCCTGTAGCTCACAGCTGCCAAACCTGAATTCCCACACACTCCCCTGCTGCCTATCTACCAGAGAGCAGAAAAAGTGAAAATTATCACTCCAGATTGCAGCTTCCTCACATGGAGCCACCTTAATTGATAATTTCAAATGAACCTCCATACTTTAAAATGAAGTACATACATTTCTCCATTATGCCTTGGAGAGTAGATTGATAACAGGAATGAAGTGGGAAGGCAAACGTTAACCACTCAAGCAGGATTCTCCAGGGCTCACCAGTTAGCAACCATAGACAGAATTATCTATTGCAGTCAAAAAGAAAAATATTATTGTGATTAATGGGGGATTTTAATAGCCAAGCTGGATTTTCTTTTCATTTAAAACAAAAACAAACAAACAACAAAAGAAAAAACCTATAAAAAAGCAAAGAATAGGGGTGTGCATGCAAAAAAGTAAGCCACATCTCTCTGGAGACCTGGATGTAGAGAAGCACTCCTGTAAAGAACACACAGGAAATACTTTGGTTAGCATATTTTCCAGCCTGGTAACATCATAGCCCTTCTCTTGATATCCTCAAATCAAGCAAGGGATATTTCTTCTACCCTTCCCAGATCATGGTAAACCAAATCAGGATTTTAATGACTAAGGAAAGCTATAGAAATTTATGGTATCAACATCTAATCCTGCTCATTGCTGGAAGAATCTGAAATTCAAAAAGTCCCTTGTTTGATCCAAGCATTTTATGCAGTCAAATTCTAATTCAGTTGCACATGGTTTCTTTTCCCCATGGATTCAAAATACCTGAGTCTTGCATTTGCCACAAAGAAATTTGTTTGGGAAGCATGGCATCCAAGCCCCCATAAATTTTATCTACAACAGAGCCAAACCTGTGCAATCTCAGACTTCAATACTGGGCATAGCCCAGAAATAGGCCCTGGGAACTCAGGTACAGTGTCATGCTGCAGTGATATATCCTGCTGTCTTATAAGATGATCTTAGAGATCAAGAAAAAGCTAACAAGATCTTAACAAAAGACATTTCCAGCTGCTTCATGGACTGCCCATTCCAAAACTAAAGAATTAAACTTTCAGAAGTGCTGGGACTGCCTTTAGATGAGCAATCTATAAGGTACAATTTAGGAAGGAATGTGTTGGACCTTGGATTAACTTTTTGCAAATCAGACTTGGATTTAATGCCTGCAAAACCATGCTACATGTCTACCTTGTTGCACCTGCAACACTTCATAGGGAGTAAGGGAGTGTTTGAAGACATGACAAATGTGACAGCTGCTCTTGTTCAAGGATGAAAACTGTGAAGTCACTGACAAAACTCAGGGTGTAGGAGTTAGCCCTCAGTGTGTGTCCACCTTTGGGTTTGTGGGTAGACTTGGGTTTACCCGAGACTTTTTTGTAAAAATATATAATGTTTGAAAAGTCTGAATGGCTGTCTACCTCTTTAGAATGACTGGTCTTGATTAATACTGTTAGAATTAACCACCAAATCACTCTTACAATTTCTAAATAATTTCTGCTAGCTCAAGAAGAGGTGCCTGCCAGCTGAGCTGTAGTATTCTACTGTTAAATGAACTGGCTCCCTTTCCCATTGGACACCCTCACTTCAAGGGCAAAACAAGCTTCAAGTGTCAGAACCTCATTCCTGCAGACAGATCCTTACAGACACATGGATCCAGCAATGGAGGCCAGGAAATTTATTTATGCACTTGCTCTTCCATGGAGCTCTTGCCAGTCATCACAGCTGTGCACATCAGGACTTGGCAGGCTTTAGGCCTGCAATATCTTCAGGTAGGAGCAGCAGTCAGAATTTAAAGTGCAAAGTCTCTTACCAAGACCCTGTGCAAGGGAGAATTTTAAATTAAGTTTTGCTTATGCAAATCACATCTTTCATACTCAGAATCTGACACTGAGCAAACACTGTAGGATGTAATAGCATTGAGTGAAGTACTTCATGGAGAGACTTGAATCAGGAGCCAGATAATGAAACAACTGCTGTCATAAGGCAGCTGATTATCTCTTTTGCAGTATTCCATGTATCTCTCAGCATGTAGAAAAATGTTTGAGGCAAGCTTATCCTTGTAGCAATAAATTAAAACATTTTGGGAATCTTGTTTTCCAAGCAAGTTTAATAGACAGTGACACTTCTTTGATAGAAGTCAGTTTAACCTAAATCCCACCTGCTAGTTTGCAAATAGTGACAATTCAAAAGGTTAATCTTAGTAACAGATTTGATGGCCTTGATTCAAAAATAATTTCACTCAAAACTAAGTTGCACAAAAACAACTATTTCTTGCTCCTGCCACATCCAGCTGTGAGAGATTGGAAGAGATTGCAGTCTCAAAAACCTTTTGGGTGCACATGTAGGGAAAAGAGGCAGGTCAGGTCTTGCTCTGGTGAGGCAATACCATGCTCCATACACCCCAGAGCCTGTATCCCAGCCCTGCAGTGGCTGCCCATCCCTGGCACAGCAAAGGCAGTGCTCCACACCCACCTCTGCAGCCCCAATCCAGCCCCACAGTGGCCAGATGACCCAAAATCCTACCTGGGGGAAGGGCCCAGGAAAGCTAAAGGGTACTTCACCCAGGACACAAGGCAAGCACAAGGGATGCCCTACCATCCCTTGGATTTTATATCAGCTGGACCTTGCTGGAATCAGAACTGGTCACTATATTGGCTCTTTTCTATATATGTTCTGTATTCTAATTCCCTCTTCTCAGAGTTTTGAGTAACTCAAAATTGGATAGGCTTGGAGTTTGTGAAATTGAATGAGCTGAAGTTAGTGCTTCCTGAAGTGTTTTATGTTGATTGAATGCTGCCCTAAACCTTTGTCAAATTTCTGATTTTCTCAACTTTGTCAGTAAAGTTTTTTTGCTGTTTTTTTACCTCAGTATTTCTCTTGTGTGTCTAACACAGTACATGAAAAGCTGTAAGCCCTTTTAAGAATCTTGTCAAATGAGTTTTTGAGGGCCTTACACCAACATAATTAATGTAATTTCCAACAAATGTAATAAGAACTGTTTCAATTACCCTACTTCTCCATTATTCTCCATAATATCTTCTCTTTTGGAAAGACTAGACTGTCTTTTATTAATAAAGTGTTAAACTGATGATGATGCAAAAAGTCAGGGGAAGAGGTGAGGAACTGTCTACAAAGGAAAAATTGTATCATACATTATTTACCCTGTTTCACTCAAACTCCAAAGAAAAGGGAAAGACAGAATAAGTGACTTAATGTGAATTTCTGGATTAGACATGCAGATGAGTTATAAGGATTAAGGTCAAAGGATAGATAAAGCACATAAATCTGCTCAACAGTCATTAAGATGCAGATGTTTTATTTAAAGACACTCCTAATTCAGACCAACATTAATAGAAAAAAAATCTGTTAAGAGCAGCACTGCCAGATATCTACTAAAACAAGTTATTTCTGAATCTTTGCATGTGACCTAGGCTAGTGACACTGAAATGCAATTAGATAATTAGATAGACTTCCTTTTTGATGAAGTGCTTAAATCCCATTTCAAGGTAGTATGGAAGTGTGGAAAACACTGTGTACTATTACAAGTACTATGTCAATCCTTTGTAGTTAAAATTGCTTTTATTCCAAGAAAACCTCCTTACCTGACATAGCTTATCAGCTAATTAGTAAATACCCACAGCCACATATCCAGTTAAAGGTCTATGAGTACACTGCACAAGCACAAAAATTAACGTGTACTATTCTGAGGTTGAGTGTATTTGGAAAACAGCAACATATGGAACTCAACCACTTGTTCCAGCAGTGTCCTGGTTATGCCAGGAGGCCTTTGTTGCCATTAGATGTTAGAAGGCTTTTTTTTTCATCTTACACAAAACACTCTGCTTGCGTTTCTGCCATTTAAAGTGCTGTACATATCTCTACAAGCCATGAAGTACAGAGTATTTTATTTTATAAATCTTTTCACATGTTGACTTATGCAGGGTTTTAATATGCAATGATCAGCATGCAGTGCTTTGGAGCTGTTTTGTTCTGTTTATTTCATATAATTTTCTATGTCAGCACTTTAGAATGGACCCTATTCGGTTTTATTGCCATTCCAGAAAAAGTCACCATCAACTTACTTAGATGACTTTTTGTATTGGACTTTTAGTTATGAAGAGGTCAATCTCATTTTATGGGCTAGACATGTTTAGCAATCTTTTATTTTTACTGTGGCATCAAATAAATACAGATAATACAGAACAGAAAATCAAGAAAGCATAAAGACCTCTAAAAGCAGGAATTGGGACAAAACTGTGAGATATTTTCACATCCTACTCTTGTTCAAAGAAGAAACACTTAAAGATAAGCAATATGTATGAGTGGCACCTCAAAACATGCTATAGATTTAAATGTCTGTTCAAATTTCCATAGTAAGTCCTGCTTTGTGCAACTAAAGACTTGTCAAAGTTAATTTCCATCAATATGAAGTCTGGCACAACGGTCTGTAATTTATGTGCATCTCCTCTCTTCTAATTTTGAATAACAGTTGATGCAAATTGTTTCAGACCTTTCCAATATTATGAGAAATTCATAACTTTATTGCTTTTCTAACCCAAGAAAAAAAGCCAAATAACAAAGAACTGATATAACCAGTTGAATTTCTCTTACTTTTTGTTTTCTAGGAGTTAAAGGAGTCTTTTGGAACTACTTTAAAAAACTTCTTAACAAAGCCTACACAGACTATATTCCAAAATTACAGATTCAAATATGTAGAATCAAAAGGACACACCATTTAACACAATTTATAAATCAAAACATATAAATGTCCACTATGGAATCTCTTGCTTGGGTAAGTCTGCTTTTAATTTCAGCCTAAACAGTTTAAATATTAAGTCCATGATCACTCCATGATAATAAAAGCTTTATAATGGACCATTCCTCTTAGAGTAAGCCAGATTTTACTAGTCTTTAGGAAAGGTCTGTAGTAGGACTTCAGTGTCAGCTTTGTGAAAAAATACTCATCCCACTTTGTGCGCCCATAACATGTGAAAGCAGAGAGTCTGAGTCATCCTTTTGCACACACCAGAACAGATCCATGAAGAGACAATTATTGAAATTCCCTCAAAGCTCCTCCCCAGTCACAGAACACTCTGAGTTGGAAGGGACCCAGAAGGTTCCTCTAACTCTAAAGTGAATGTCCTAGACAGGGATCAATCCCACAATCTTGGCATTATTAGCACCATTCTCTAATCAGCCGAACTGATCCCAGGGTTGATCTGTTCTGCCTTGCCAAAGACTGAAGCAGACCTTTAACAGCATCCATCAGAACACCAGGCACTTCAACATTTAGGGATCAGCAGATTGGAAACCCTCTTTACAAAGCTTTCAAATCTACTGTGCTTCAGTTTGCACAGTGGGGTGGACACTGGGCTCCTTTTGGGGCAAGCTAAATCAAAGCACCCCTTATACTCCTGTCAAGCAGATAGCCAGCCCGTGGAATCAGATTAAAATTAAACCAAAAATAAACAAAAAGGACAAAAGGCACATTGATATGCTTCAAGCATGCACATGAAGTCCTCAGCTCCTCCCAGCTCCCTCTGTACATCTCTCCCCGTTGGATCACATCACTTCACACAGTCAGAGCAGCCAGAGACAGTCCAGCCAAGCAGCCAAGAGGAGAAAACCCTGCCCTGTGGAGGAAACCTCATTCATTTTCAGGACATGGCAGTCCCCATTAAATCTAGCCAAAGCTTTACAAGATTGTCTGTATTTTAATATACACACAGGAAGAGATTATGTTAACCACAGCAACCAGGCTATGGCAGCACAGCCCTCAGAGCCATTCACTCACATTCTCACTGCCTTGCCAACACTGTTATTTCACAGCTGAATCTGAACACCTGACCCAGTTATCAGCAGAAAACATCTTAGAATAAATTCACAAAATGTACATAAAAGACGAATGACAGACACCCACTCAGCTGTTCATCCAAATGGTCCTAATGGGAATCTGAATACAGCAATGCTGAATAACTGCATCCTGTAACTTGTCACCTGCAGAGCACATACAGAAGAGGAGTTGTGTTTGCCATGTAACAATCTTTAAAACTGGTTTCAAGAGAACAGTAAATTTTAATCCATCCCTTGTGTGCAAAGTAAAAAGGAAAATATATTTATTAAAAAAAAAAAGAAAAAAAAAAAGAAAAAAAAAGAATATTAGCAGACACAAACCCAGGGAAGAAGACCGATTTGTTTAGGATAAGAAATCACTTCTCAGTTCAAGCTGAAGCCCTTCAAAGGGGTCAAGGAACACAGGGATAATCTTGTCAATAAAATGTACTCATGTTTCCTAGAAGCTTTTGTCACAAATCCTCATTAAAGGTTGCTAAAGAAACTGAGTTGTAATTAGATGAGAGAAGATCCCACCCTTCATTTCCTATCTTTTGATCACTTATTAATGAAAAAAGTAAATTGCCCTTTCAAAGCAGTTGCTAAGTTAGTCCTTGAAATATAGATGGTTCTTCACTGCTCAGTGCACTCAAGTGATCAAGATGGGGCAGAGAGAAGATGATGCACAAAGAGAAAGGACAAGAGGGTATAGAGTTCATAGTTTAAGAGCTGAGGATTACTGTGGCAGGTTGGAGAGTACCTTAAGCAGATGAGTGAAGACGAAGATGAATACAAAGATGTGAAATGAGGGGGAAAAATTATTTCTGCCTCGCAAAAACAAATTAAGGAGAGAGTTACCACTTAAAAAATTTCTAGAATTAACTCACTATTCAAAAGCAGGAAAATAAAAGGTTTGAGATTATTAGGAAAGGAATAATAAACAAAAAACTAGCAAGCTATTCCTCCTAAAGACCATACAGACATTTATGAACCCATATTTCATACAATCCTATTAATCCCATTTCAGAAAGATTGAAAAAGTAGGAAATATGCAAAATGTTGTTGTGAGGATAATCAAAGATATGGGAAAATCTTCTTTAGAAGAGGATTAAGTAGATTAGTTTGCTATTTGAAAACTAAGGGGGAGAGAGAGAGAAGCAACCTCCAAAATTGCACATAGCATAAAGAAGCTGAAGAGAAGATTTACCCAGGGCAAGGGGAAGAACTTGGTACCCCCAGCAGAATCATCATGAGCCAGGTATGCCCAGGTGGCCAAGAAGGCCAATGGCATCCTGTTTTGTATCAAAAATGGTCTGGTCAGCAGAACCAAGGCAGTGACTGGCCCTCACTGGAAGAAGGAAATTGAGGTGCCGGAGCCCATGCAGAGAGAGCAACAGAGCTGGTGAAGAGTGTAGGGGGTAAGTCCTGTGAGGAGCAGCTGAGCTTAATGAGTGGTTTAACCTGGAGAAAAGGAGGCCCAGGGGAGACCTTATTGCTCTCTACAACTCCCTGAGAGGAGGCTGTTGTAAAGTGGGGGTCAGCCTCTTCTCCCTGGTAACAAACAATAGGACAAGAGGAAATAGCCCCAAGCTGCGCCAGAGGAGGTTCAGGCTGGACATCAGGAGGAATTTCTTCATGAAAAGGGTGGTTAAGGATTGGAATGGGCTGCTCAGAAAGTAAAGTCATCACCCCTGGAATTCTCCAAGAAACAGCTGGATATTGCACAAAGTGCTATGGTTTAGCTGACAAGGTGGTGTTTGATCAAAGGTTGGACTCAATAATCTTGGAGGTCTTTTCCAACCCTAATGATTCTAAAATCTGGCTTAGAAACACTTTCATTTGGCCAGTTCTTGTGTAACACAGAATTCCACTGTCTGCATAATGTTCCAGGAGGGTTGGTGGAAGAGTTATTTTTTCCTATTCAATTCAAATTTTACATAAAACATTAATTAAAACTAATGTTAGCATAAGACTTATTTGATTATTGCAAATGTTATCATTTCAGGGAAAAGAAAAATATTGCCAAATATTTCATTATTTGCAGTTAGAGAACATTTCTTTATTTTCTACACATTTTAATTTTTGTGCTCAAAACTACTGTCAGTCCCTGTCTGCTGCTCTCATGAGAGAGAGAATGAAAAGCAGAAGTGTCAACTTCAGTATCTCTCACCCACAATCCCCCTTCCCTGTGCATCAAGTACACTCTCCAGGGAACTACTCAACTTCCATAGAAACCACCAAGACAAATACTTGGATACCTGGATATATATGCATCTGTTTCCTATGTGATACAAAATTTCACCTCATTTTGATTCTATGCTAAACAAGGGCATATGAAAATAGCCTAAAAAAATTCAGAACGTGTTCTGTCCATCTCTATCAACAACTTAAATGCTGAAAGTAATCAAACATCTGTCTGAAGCAAGTCTGCAATTTTACATTCTATAGCATGGAGATTCTACAGCATGGAAATTCCTATAGCATGAAAAGAATAAAAAATTGTAATAATAGGAACAACCAAGAAAAAAATCCAAAACAAAACAAGCAAACAAAAAAGACCAAAAAACCTCACAGGACACCAAACCAATAACCTGTCAGAGAATCAGCAGCTGTTAGACAGATTTCCTAGTAAAGGCCTAGCCACTTCTAAGACTTCTTTGGAGCAGTTATAAATCAGTGTGCCATGTTCACTAACAGTTGGCTATTCAGGAGTCTGTACACCCATTAATCTGCAGATTACTGTAATAAAATTGCTGAGGTTTATTCTGGGATTCATGGGCACAGTGGTTTGTCTTTCTTCCCATCCAGAACCAAAGATTAGTTGGTGCAATTTTGAGCAATTATTCTGAAATAATGCATCAATTTATATAAAACACTGATGTCTTCCACAATTTTTTTTACACTAACTGGAAGATACTGAAAAGACTAAAGATCAAGGACCATCCATTTAGTACAAAAGGATTCCCTCTTCAAAATCATTTTAACAAGGATTAAGAAAACATAAAAGCATTCCACACACTATTCTTGTCAAACTGAACTCCTCCTACAGCTCCCCAAGAAAGCAGAACAGAGAGGTATACTTTTCATCACAGGAAAAAATAATATATGAAGACCAAGCTCCAGCTTGACCTTTATCTTCCTAAGTGATAACTCTCAAAAGTGACCAAAAGGTTAACTAAACTCTAAAAAGGTCATCTGTCTTTAATCTGGCTATATAGATCCTTTTCTGATGTTCAATAGTACACAGCTACTGTTCATTAAATATCACCCGTCCATTCTGTGTTTTCACCTTCTCTTTTCAGCAGCAGCTAGATTTTTGTTCTGTCATATTAAATAGCTTGCAACTTTTCCCAGTCCAGCACATTTTCTGGAATAGGAAATGTATTATGGTTATGTAAATAAATTCCCAACAGTTCTCCTTCTAGAACAATTCTCTAATGTCAGATATATACATATTTGTTCTGAGTACATTAGTGCCTTCTTTGCTCCACTACGTGTCTCTCATACTTTTGAGAGAGAGCAGTCACCTCTTTTTCTCCTCACAAGTGATGCAGCTCAAATAATTTTCAGCTAAGTTTTATTTCAAAGCAATTATATAATCCAAAGTTATACCAGAAATTAGATTGAACTTCAAATTCAATATACAAAAGTAATGTTATACAGAATCAGGTTCTTCAGATGACTAGAGAGATCAGAACAAACTGTGAATAATTTTTTTTTTTCTTAAAAAGTTTTATTGTTATATGTACAAATACATCCTGAATGTTCACATGATCTTATTGAATAGCACAGGTTATTCCTGTTGCTTCCTTGTCTTTCCTGCTTGCTATTTCGCAAGTACTCCAGTTGCTAACTACTAGAGTTCCTAACTACTGCTAACTACTCTAGTTATTCTAGTTAGTGTCAAAACTGCAGGGAATG